GAGCTACATATATCCCCTTTTATTGAGATTCCACAGTAGCCCATCACAACCTTGTGAAAAAGGCCCTTCATTCAGAGATGTTTGTTTTCTAGGATGTAATGGCCCATGGCTGGATCAGTGGGTGGTGAATCTCTCCCTTGTGGAGTTGTGGATTGAGTATGTCTGAATCAGCAGGCCTGTGAATGCCTGCTGCCTGCCCATTCCCCAAATGGGAGGTTACCCATAATCTTGTAGTTTAATTCATATTTACTATGATGGACAGTGGTTTGCAGCTATTTTAATTGCCCATGATTAACTTCTTATGAAGTGGCCTGTTGAGAGAAATTGACTATCCAAGAGAGAAGGCATGTGCCAAAGGCCCTTGAGCACTGTTATTTCAGACAGCTTCAAAAGACCAAAATAGAAGGTCCCTTTGTGACGACAAAACCAGGTGGGACTACAGGCAACCCTATGCCAATCAGCTTTGTAAACTGTACTTAAAATTCAAGGCCCAAACAGTGAGCACTTTCCAACTAAAGGAAAATAGACACGCTATATAAGAAGCCTTGAAGGATGCTAAATCATCTGCACAGATAATCATTGCAAGATGCAAACTGAGCTCTGTTGCTATGACAGAGAAAATCTTCAGAAGCTTGTTTATGGTTTAACATGTTACAGCTCCATCTAAACCTCCAGCAGTTCAGCTCATTAAAATACCTTTTTCTAAGCTTCCTGCTATATACTAACGTGGCCCAAACTTTAGAGAAAAGGGAAGAAGAAAACTTCATATTTTTCTAATTCACAGCAGGAATGAAAAGGATTTGGATGAAGGTTGGAGGGATCTCTTCCTGCTTAGAAAGCAAGACCCAAATCCTGGTTAATTCTCCTGGAAGGCAGGAGGTTCCAGTGCTGTTCTGCCAGCCTCTTCCCTTCAGTTCTGTCCCTGCCTTCCTGCAGGGGAAGCCTTCACTATTTCCTTATCCAATACTCCCAGGCTCTTCCCTCTTTTTGGTCTCAATATCTCTGCTACTCTAAACAAAAATTAGCATCTTCTTCATGCTCCACAGAACTTCATTTATCTATTTACTAAGTTTTCTATGCCGCTCCATTCCAAAGTAACTGTGACCATTTTTAAGAAAAACTTGACCTATGGAAACCACTGTTTTTCCACTATCAGGTGCCCTCTAGAATGGCCTCCTGCAGGAAGTATATTTTACCCCCAACTGATGGGCTTCATTTTTGTCATGTATTTTGGTTACATCATTTACATTTACTCCAACTAATACTACTACTACTACTACTACTACTATTATGGTTGGTCACACAGTGAGCCAGATGTTTAGACTGGATTTGGCATTTTTGTCCACCTATCGAGTCTTTCCAAAGGACCTGGGATAGGCAGCTGTTGTTTAATAATATTAAAGGTATCATCGCAGGATATAAGCCGTTCCAAGTAAAGCTGTCTTTTGCAATTGACTGATGGTGATTTTGTCCATGCCAGTGGTATTCAAGTGGTGCTCCAGATGTTTTGGGATTGCACCCAAGGCGCCTATAACTATTGGTACTATCTTCGCTTTCTTTTGCCATAGTCGTACTACTTCTATTTGCAGGTCTTTGTATTTTGTGATTTCCCTTGTTCTTTCTCTTCTCTTCTGCTGCTTCCAGGTTTTGCAATGTCCACTATCCAGACATTTTTTACTTTTTTATCAACAATTGTTAAATTTGGGGTGTTGTGTGGCAGATGTTTGTCTGTCTGAATTCTGAAGTCCCAGAGCACTGTAGCTTCTTCATTTTCTATGACTTTGTCTATTTCGTGGTCCCACCAGTTCTTGCTTGCAGGCAAATGGTATTTCTTGCAGA